TAGATGGATGAGTTTCCGGAAGCGGTGGGTGTGTAAGATGAACGTGTTGCGACGTCGAGAGAAAATGGAGAAGAATCGCTGGGAACACGACGCGTGGTTGAATTCGTGGAAGGTGCTCCAGCGTTCTTCAAGGATCTAACTCGTCATAGAAGAATAGAATCCCAGAGTATTTTGTTTCGTCTTTATCTGTCCATAATTAATTTTCAATAATTTGAAGATAAATGTTTGTTTATAATCGTCTCAACACGAAAATACAATCAGAATAGAAAAAAAAAACAAAAACAAAAATAAAAATGAAGTTGCCGTCGTGTGGGCTAGAAATAGAAGTATTTAACATCTTTGTAAGGGCTATAATACAGAACACTATGTAGTACATTTGTTTAGGAAATACTCACAGTTTAACAGAACAAAGTGATACATTTTTTTCTTTAAAAGACTTATTTTACATATTATGCATCGATTATTTTACAAATTTTATTAATATAGAAAGTGGGACTTTGATATTAATTAATGACTAATGTAAAAAGTGTCACGTATATATATTTTTATCAAAATTATCAAGTTAGTTTTGTGCTACAATCATGAAATGTGAAGCAATCTGAAGCATATTGTAACAATTAATGTGGAAGGTCAGGCCTCTTTAAGGATGTTTTGGAGTCAAAATACATTTAATGTATAAAGTTGAATAACATAGGAGAGTTATGGCGATGAAAATATTTACTTAAGTGAAGATAGAAAAGAAGGGAGTTGGTTTGACGAGGAAGTGGTATATGAAGAATATGAAATGGTAGTAGAATAGTTCTTTTTTGGAGGATAACTGGTTGGAAGAACTACAGCATGCATAAATATCCGACACTCTATTGCAATGTAATTAAGAAGGAAGTATGAGCTGGTAATACCTGGGAGTGGTGCAAAGAGTGGAGATGAGGCTGATTTGAATGTGAATAAAATAAGCATAGTATCATATGGAGAAATTACTGCAACAATGACATTTTAGAAGTTTTTTTTTCATATATAGGTTAAAAAATGTTAATTTTATAAAATTACTTTGTAAGACGTGATTTTGTATTATATATTGTCAATTAGTCTTATTTTTAGTTAATGTTTTTCAATATATATATCTCACACTAGTGGAAATTATATTTTTTATAGTGACTTTTTATACGTGTCAAAATTTAGAAGTCATAGAAAGTGGAATAATGATAGTTTTGTAAATATGAGAAACTTTTTTACATAGGTTATAATAAAAATAGGTATAAAATCTATAAATTATTGATCTACACCAATTAAATATTATAACAGGTATAGATTATTTTACATGTTCAATTTGTTTTTCCCGCTATACTTTCTTTTTTGTGCAAAACTTCATTTCAATTACCATTGTTGAGGTGGTTGGGTAAAGTTCTTGTTCCCGTTTGAAGTTGTTCGCGTTTTTCATTTACTATGCGTTTCTCATCTTCTTTTTCGCGTTTGAAGTTGTTTACGTTTGGGTAAAGCAACATTTCTCAGCGTTGTCTTTTTCTCTTTCGCACATCAGAGAACATTTCTCAGCGTCGTCTTCCTCACTTTCAATGGCTCGAGAGCTCATCCTTCACCATCAGAGAGCATCTTCCACACTTTTAGGTTAGGGTTTCTCCAGCATTTCCTCATTTCCTCATCTTCGACCGATTATAATCACATTCTACCAATTATAATCCCTTTCCACCGTTTAAAACCCCTTTTCCATCGATCAATCGGTCCATTCTAGGGTTCCTTGGTTCCTTCACTGTTTTGCATCGATTAAAAGTTCTCTTGAGGCTCTGAGGCAAACATTTTGTATTTTAGTTTCTTTTTGCCGCTTCAATTTACGGTTAGAAGGTGGTCGTGAGCGTGTGCTACCAGGGAACAACTCTTACAACTTAGAGAGGTATTTTTTATGTTATTGCTACTTTAATGGAGGAAATTTGTTTATTGCATCTGCTGCCTAGATGTTATTCTTTTCCTTTGAATTTGAAAATTGTGGCTAATTAAAATTCTTTGATGTTTAGTGATTGGATTCTTCTTTGTAATATCCTATGCGTATTGCTTGCCATTGATTACCTTGTAAACATGATCACAAATATATTTAGGAAACTTCTAGATTTATCCTCGCTATATGATCTCGCTATATCCTCACTCCCCTATGGATATTTCGTAGAATTCATATTTCAATGTATAATACCTCACCTTCTTTCTTTCGAAACAACAACTTTCTTTTCAAAACAGAATAGCACTAAGCATACAGCACCGACTACAATGGCAATGATTATCGAAACAACAACTTTCTTTTCTCCATTTGAGCAAGTTCTAGAATTTGTTCAAAGAATAAGGTATCACACTGATATTTTACTTAGAACTACCCATCATATTCATAACATCACATCGAAAAACAGAATGTCATCTCACTCATAAGATTGTTATCAATACTACATGGTTTTAATTTTTATTGTATATTATGCTATATCATTTTGTATAAAAATAATGAGTATCATACTAGTTTATACTTTCCTTGTCCATTTTCGCATTTTTAGAAAAAGTTCAAGTCACTTACTATAATTTTTAATTCAATGTCTTCAAAAATATTAATTTTGTAACATTAGATTTTGGGAATTTATTTATCTTTTATAGGGTCACTAGTACACTAAAGGGAAACGACAACGGTTATTTTCGCTTATATGCAGCGGTTCCGCAACCAAGGCATATACAGGCGAGACAAAAAGGGGTAGGCTTTTTCCCTCGGTTCTGAACCGAAGCAAAAAGGTGTGTGATTTTGCCTCGGTTCAAATCCAACTGAGGCAGTAGAGGTTTTGTTTTTTTCTTTTTCACCATTCGCCATATGAGTTGTTAGCCCTTGGCTACAATCCATCAATGCCTACCACTCCATCTCACACCACCATCATCAAAGATTCCACTACGAAGAACAAAGAACGAGAACGACGCGCTCCCACCACCACCTGCAGAGAATCAAACTCCACCACTCCTGCAGAGCATCAATTAAACATAAAATAATCCAAACAAAATCAGAAAAAGGAGACGGAAGGAAGTTTCCTCCTTTGCTGCGAATCAGAACAAAGAGAAGAAGAACGAGAATGACCGCCCTTGCGCCCCCGCCGCGTCTTCGCCGCACCTCAATCACGCCATTGAAGATCCCTTCGTCGTGCCTCCATCAGAATAGAGAAGAGGAAGGAAGCCTCCCCCTCGCAAACGAAAGAAAATGGGAGAAAAGAGAGGAGCAGCGCAACTTCTATCTCTGTTTGCGAAATTTAACCCTAAACACATGTTATTACCTCGGTTATTTTTTTAACCAAGGCAATAAGGGTCTACGGCCTCGGTTCTATAAAGAACCGATGCCTAAACGCTCTCAAAAAAATAAAAAATAATTACAAAAATGTCATCGCACCAGTTTTAGACANTAATAAATTATGAGAAATGATAAATTTTGAAAAATTTGAGTGAATTTGAATGGAGAGGAGAGATAGAATAATAGATTTTGGAAAATTTAAGTGAAGAGAAAAGATAGTAAAAGGTTTATTTAGTTTATGGAGATTATAAATTTCTTAGAGAAGAATTAAAACTTTTACTATAATCATTATTTAAACAATTCCTTTTAATTATTTTAAATAATATTAATTTATGAAAAATCTTTCACAAAATAATTTCCACTAAGCAATTATTTTTATTTCTTTTAATTATTTTAAAAACATTAACTTCTAAAGAATTTTATATTTTCCATAAAATAATTTCCACTACTAAATAAAAGTAGTAAAAACATTCCTTTAGTTTCTCTATTAAATTGCATAAAAACAAAAAAACAAATAGTAAATGCTGAAAGATAAAATGTGTACCACAATCTTAACGACTACGGAGATTAAATTGAAACAATTAAAAGTTGTGACCAAAGTAGTTAGAAAATGTTCATTTTCATTTTTGTTTTTCATTTTAATTTTTCTTAATTAAATAAAATATAATACATAATATAGTAGTTAGTTTTTGTTTTTCATTTTTATTTTTAATTAAATAAAATATAACACATGATATGTGTGCATTAAAAAAAGTGTACAATAATCTTTAAAAATATAATAATATATAATTATTATTATACATATCTAATTAAAAGTGTCAAAATATTTTAAAATAACATAATAATAATAAATTATTATTATTATATATATCTAAATTAAAATATATATGAAAGTTGTCAAAATATCTAAAAAGATTGTTATTATAAAAATTCAAATTATTAAAAATATTACCAAAGTATTTTAACTATAAAAAAATTATTATTTTATAAACTAAACATTTCATCAACTAATATCATTAAAGTATTCTAACTCTATAAAAATACTTCTATAAATTAAATATCATCAAAGTATTCTAAATTCTAAAATATGGGATACTTATAAATTATTAATAAATAAAGTATTCTAACATTATTAATAAATAAAATATTCTAAAACTTCACTATATTTTAAAATAATTATTTTATTTATTAATAATTTTTAAATACTTTATTTATTAAAGAAAATTTTAAAATATTTTAATAAGAAATATTTAAAAATATAGAACATATTAGATATCTTATTAATAAATAAAGTATTTTTAAATTATTAATAATTAAAGTATTTAAAAATATCGATCGCGTAGCCTTTTAAGAAGATCCTTAAAATGTCTATATATTTTTCTGGTAAAGAATATATATTTTCCTCCGGTTTTCTTCCTAAGGATACCATTATGAAGATGTGTTATATATTTAAAATATTCTGTGCAGTTTTATAGAATTGGGTACAACACCTAACACTATTCTTACCTTAGGGTGTTTTAAAATCTAAATTATTTAAATTTTTAAATGTGTAATCGAATTTTTAATTTGAAGGTGTCAGAAATGTCATAACGAAAGTTTCAATTTTCAAGTCTAGAAAAAATAGTTATCTCGTAACAGAACTCGAGATGAAGCTGAAAAATATTAAACATAGGAAGTTTAATTATCTCGCTAACGTCACATTTCAAAATGTACACATATTAGCTAAAGACAGTTCACCCACAAATTACATATTAGAATATAGCCATCAAAGTTGCTTCTCCCAGAACATGTCCTTGTATGGCATCTTCCAATAGCTTCTCCTTCGTCACCTGCAAGAAAATATTCACATATAAGAAAAACAAGATAACCTAAAACCTTAAATAAGAAGAAGCTTCTAGATTCATTATAAGAAAATCTCTTAAAGGTTACAAAATATGAAAGTGCATCACAAAAATTAAAATGATATTTATTTAAAACAATTTCTCAATAGTAAAAACTATTGTATTAAGAAAAAAGATCATCAAAATGAACTACTCTAAACAAATTTTAATGAATTCTAAAGTAAGTTTAAATAAACGAACTTAAATAAGCTTTTATTACACATTCTATTTTAAATATTTCAAGATTTAAGAGTTTAAGAAACAAACTTTTTAGTTCAGCATGTTAATAGAAAATAAAATTATTGTTAGAATAATAGAAAAGAATAATAATAATTCCATATACTATTATTAGAGTAAAATACAACTGTGTTAGAACTTGAAAAAGTCATTAGAAAAATAAAATTGCACGAAATCAAAATTGGATTTAACCCAAAGAAATTGTTAAATAAGTCTTTACTTTTTTCTAGAATTTCTAAGAACATGATAGTACCTTGTTCCCAAGGTGAAGCTGTGTATCCAAAGCGTAAAGCTTAAACTGGGTTCTGTGACCATGCGTGGGCAACTTAGGGCAACACCAACCTGGCACCTTCAAGTCATTGTTCCCTTCTTTGATCCCTGCGTACTCCCCACCCATCTCCTTCCCGGAGAACCCTTCCGGCAGCCCCTTCACCGTCGCCGGAATGTTGGCCACTACCCAGTGAGTCCACGGCACAATGGGTCCCTCGGGGTCAGGCGCGTCAATGTCCTCCACGACCAGCGCCAGGGTCTGCGTTCCCGGCGGCAGGTTGTACCACTCCAACGGTGGGGATATATTCTTCTTTGCCCCTTGCCCCTCCTCCGTGTAGTTCCGTGGTAACTTCCCCTCGTTGCTGAAGGCCGGTGACACTAGCCTGAACTCCTCGCTCCCGTCGCTAGCCATAGTCGTCACAATCTTAAAGAAAACAAATAGAAACCTGTCTTTTTCTTTTCTTCGTTTGTGTTCTTGGTTGTTTATGGAACATGTTACTTAGGTTATTTATAGATGGATGAGTTTCCGGAAGCGGTGGGTGTGTAAGATGAACGTGTTGCGACGTCGAGAGAAAATGGAGAAGAATCGCTGGGAACACGACGCGTGGTTGAATTCGTGGAAGGTGCTCCAGCGTTCTTCAAGGATCTAACTCGTCATAGAAGAATAGAATCCCAGAGTATTTTGTTTCGTCTTTATCTGTCCATAATTAATTTTCAATAATTTGAAGATAAATGTTTGTTTATAATCGTCTCAACACGAAAATACAATCAGAATAGAAAAAAAAAACAAAAACAAAAATAAAAATGAAGTTGCCGTCGTGTGGGCTAGAAATAGAAGTATTTAACATCTTTGTAAGGGCTATAATACAGAACACTATGTAGTACATTTGTTTAGGAAATACTCACAGTTTAACAGAACAAAGTGATACATTTTTTTCTTTAAAAGACTTATTTTACATATTATGCATCGATTATTTTACAAATTTTATTAATATAGAAAGTGGGACTTTGATATTAATTAATGACTAATGTAAAAAGTGTCACGTATATATATTTTTATCAAAATTATCAAGTTAGTTTTGTGCTACAATCATGAAATGTGAAGCAATCTGAAGCATATTGTAACAATTAATGTGGAAGGTCAGGCCTCTTTAAGGATGTTTTGGAGTCAAAATACATTTAATGTATAAAGTTGAATAACATAGGAGAGTTATGGCGATGAAAATATTTACTTAAGTGAAGATAGAAAAGAAGGGAGTTGGTTTGACGAGGAAGTGGTATATGAAGAATATGAAATGGTAGTAGAATAGTTCTTTTTTGGAGGATAACTGGTTGGAAGAACTACAGCATGCATAAATATCCGACACTCTATTGCAATGTAATTAAGAAGGAAGTATGAGCTGGTAATACCTGGGAGTGGTGCAAAGAGTGGAGATGAGGCTGATTTGAATGTGAATAAAATAAGCATAGTATCATATGGAGAAATTACTGCAACAATGACATTTTAGAAGTTTTTTTTTCATATATAGGTTAAAAAATGTTAATTTTATAAAATTACTTTGTAAGACGTGATTTTGTATTATATATTGTCAATTAGTCTTATTTTTAGTTAATGTTTTTCAATATATATATCTCACACTAGTGGAAATTATATTTTTTATAGTGACTTTTTATACGTGTCAAAATTTAGAAGTCATAGAAAGTGGAATAATGATAGTTTTGTAAATATGAGAAACTTTTTTACATAGGTTATAATAAAAATAGGTATAAAATCTATAAATTATTGATCTACACCAATTAAATATTATAACAGGTATAGATTATTTTACATGTTCAATTTGTTTTTCCCGCTATACTTTCTTTTTTGTGCAAAACTTCATTTCAATTACCATTGTTGAGGTGGTTGGGTAAAGTTCTTGTTCCCGTTTGAAGTTGTTCGCGTTTTTCATTTACTATGCGTTTCTCATCTTCTTTTTCGCGTTTGAAGTTGTTTACGTTTGGGTAAAGCAACATTTCTCAGCGTTGTCTTTTTCTCTTTCGCACATCAGAGAACATTTCTCAGCGTCGTCTTCCTCACTTTCAATGGCTCGAGAGCTCATCCTTCACCATCAGAGAGCATCTTCCACACTTTTAGGTTAGGGTTTCTCCAGCATTTCCTCATTTCCTCATCTTCGACCGATTATAATCACATTCTACCAATTATAATCCCTTTCCACCGTTTAAAACCCCTTTTCCATCGATCAATCGGTCCATTCTAGGGTTCCTTGGTTCCTTCACTGTTTTGCATCGATTAAAAGTTCTCTTGAGGCTCTGAGGCAAACATTTTGTATTTTAGTTTCTTTTTGCCGCTTCAATTTACGGTTAGAAGGTGGTCGTGAGCGTGTGCTACCAGGGAACAACTCTTACAACTTAGAGAGGTATTTTTTATGTTATTGCTACTTTAATGGAGGAAATTTGTTTATTGCATCTGCTGCCTAGATGTTATTCTTTTCCTTTGAATTTGAAAATTGTGGCTAATTAAAATTCTTTGATGTTTAGTGATTGGATTCTTCTTTGTAATATCCTCTGCGTATTGCTTGCCTTTGATTACCTTGTAAACATGATCACAAATATATTTAGGAAACTTCTAGATTTATCCTCGCTATATGATCTCGCTATATCCTCACTCCCCTATGGATATTTCGTAGAATTCATATTTCAATGTATAATACCTCACCTTCTTTCTTTCGAAACAACAACTTTCTTTTCAAAACAGAATAGCACTAAGCATACAGCACCGACTACAATGGCAATGATTATCGAAACAACAACTTTCTTTTCTCCATTTGAGCAAGTTCTAGAATTTGTTCAAAGAATAAGGTATCACACTGATATTTTACTTAGAACTACCCATCATATTCATAACATCACATCGAAAAACAGAATGTCATCTCACTCATAAGATTGTTGTCAATACTACATGGTTTTAATTTTTATTGTATATTATGCTATATCATTTTGTATAAAAATAATGAGTATCATACTAGTTTATACTTTCCTTGTCCATTTTCGCATTTTTAGAAAAAGTTCAAGTCACTTACTATAATTTTTAATTCAATGTCTTCAAAAATATTAATTTTGTAACATTAGATTTTGGGAATTTATTTATCTTTTATAGGGTCACTAGTACACTAAAGGGAAACGACAACGGTTATTTTCGCTTATATGCAGCGGTTCCGCAACCAAGGCATATACAGGCGAGACAAAAAGGGGTAGGCTTTTTCCCTCGGTTCTGAACCGAAGCAAAAAGGTGTGTGATTTTGCCTCGGTTCAAATCCAACTGAGGCAGTAGAGGTTTTGTTTTTTTCTTTTTCACCATTCGCCATATGAGTTGTTAGCCCTTGGCTACAATCCATCAATGCCTACCACTCCATCTCACACCACCATCATCAAAGATTCCACTACGAAGAACAAAGAACGAGAACGACGCGCTCCCACCACCACCTGCAGAGAATCAAACTCCACCACTCCTGCAGAGCATCAATTAAACATAAAATAATCCAAACAAAATCAGAAAAAGGAGACGGAAGGAAGTTTCCTCCTTTGCTGCGAATCAGAACAAAGAGAAGAAGAACGAGAATGACCGCCCTTGCGCCCCCGCCGCGTCTTCGCCGCACCTCAATCACGCCATTGAAGATCCCTTCGTCGTGCCTCCATCAGAATAGAGAAGAGGAAGGAAGCCTCCCCCTCGCAAACGAAAGAAAATGGGAGAAAAGAGAGGAGCAGCGCAACTTCTATCTCTGTTTGCGAAATTTAACCCTAAACACATGTTATTACCTCGGTTATTTTTTTAACCAAGGCAATAAGGGTCTACGGCCTCGGTTCTATAAAGAACCGATGCCTAAACGCTCTCAAAAAAATAAAAAATAATTACAAAAATGTCATCGCACCAGTTTTAGACATCGATTCCTTTTGAACCGAGGCATATATCTTTGCGCGATAATTACAAAATTACCACCGCACCAGTTTTAGGCATCGGTTCTTTTTGAACCGAGGCATATACCTTGCGTGATAATTACAAAAATGTCACTGCACCAGTTTTAGGCATCGGTTCTTTTTGAACCGAGGCATATACCTTGCGCGATAATTACGAAAATGTCACCGCACCAGTATGTCAAATGCGCGAGTTAAAATCTTGTTTTTTTACTAGTGGGTATAATTGTAATTTTCTGCTTTAAATAATAATTTTAGGTAATTAAAGAGAGACATTGAATTCCAAATTAATAGATGATGAAGGAAAGATTAATTTAAGGCCGAATGACACATTAACGTTAGAAGACAAAAGTTAGATTCTGAACTAAAAAAACAAGCCAAAACACACGTTACTTGTCACTTTTTAAAACATGAATTCATATAGAAAAACTCTCTAATCCTTCGAATTATGAATAATTGTTGAATAACACTAGTAAAGAAGTCCATACAAACTTGCTTCTGAGATAATTTGTAAATGTTAAATCAGCTCTCATTATTATGTTTGCATAACAACAATTTACATAATCATCTCCTCATAAATATGTATACGTTAATTACTTTAAACTGTATCTTCATGAAACATGATCTTTGTCTTACATTAGCTCCTACTCGATTCTTCTCTGATAAAACTGGGGTTGTTAATGACAACCTTCGACTTAGTTCCACCATGGTATTTACCATTTTTGTCTGATAAAGCTATTTTGAACAGTGAAAGTCATTGATTCCGGCTGAATAATACAAATGAAAGCGTAGAATCTGTGACTCCATAACATGGGAACTTGAATTAAATGCTTTACTGTGTTCTATTGGCTTGTTATAAGCTGTACTTCAACATCAAGGCCATTTCCAATATCTGTGTGTAAGTCCATCATCTACATGCCATATGAGCCATGACAAATTCATTCAAGAGTTCGGGTGTAAGATGTGTGGCAGCAGATTCAGATTTATAGGTGATTCACAATATTTTTCTGATGAAAATCTGATTGCAAATTCAGCTGAGATGCATCTGATTTGATTAAGCCAGTATCATGTACACACCAAATAAGTGATGATTTGCTTAGGCAAAGCTTGGTGAAACTGAGAAAACTTCAGCAGAGCTCTCTTTGACAGTTGGCCGATCTGTTTTTTCTTGATTTGTGTGAAGCTACTGCAATGTCAATTTTGGTTCAACACTTAGTTCATTGTTGGACATCTTAAAATGCAGTTTGAGTGCTTCACTCAAGTTTAATTTGTTGAATCTGACTGTTATTGATTGTTTAAAACTCATTTGTACCNTACTGTGTTCTATTGGCTTGTTATAAGCTGTACTTCAACATCAAGGCCATTTCCAATATCTGTGTGTAAGTCCATCATCTACATGCCATATGAGCCATGACAAATTCATTCAAGAGTTCGGGTGTAAGATGTGTGGCAGCAGATTCAGATTTATAGGTGATTCACAATATTTTTCTGATGAAAATCTGATTGCAAATTCAGCTGAGATGC